AGCCTAAGCAAATTTGGCATCCTTGAGGAATTCACCAAGATGGAGAGTTTCTTGGGCCTGGTTTTCAGACTTTTTAAAATAAAGCAGTAGAGGTGCTTTTTATTTCTTAAAACTTCCATTTTTTAAAAAAGTCTGTTTATTTTTGAGAGAGGGAGGGAAAGCAAGTGGAGGAGGGGCATAGAGAGAGAGGGAGAGAGAGAATCCCAAGCAGGCTCCATGCCATGAGCACAGAGCCCAATGCAGGGCTCAATCCACGAACCAGATCACGGCCTGAGCCGAAATCGAGAGTCAGGTGCTTAACTAACTTGAGTCCCCCAGAATGGAAATGATTACAGATGCAAAGGAAACTGCATAAATGGTACAAGGCATCCCATGAGCCGTTCTACCTGGCTTCTCCACTGGTCACAAAACACAAAAGCAAAACCAGGAATCTGACACGACTACATTAATGTTGGAATCGGCCCCTTTCAGCTCTTATCCTTTTTAATTCTGTGTGTAGTTCCATGCAATTCCAGCCCACATATCGACTCACGTAACTACCACCACATTCAAGATACACGGCTGCTCTGTCACCACAGAAAAGAACTGCCCGGTGCTGTCTCAGCCTCACTCTGCCTCTGACCTTGTCCCCTGGCCACCATTCAGCTGTTTTCTACCTCTGTTGTTTTGGTAATTCAGGAGTATTAGATAAGTGGAATCATAAACAACATAACATTTTGAGCTTTAATTCTTGCCACTCACCATCATGCCCTTTGGGGCCATTCAGGTGGCTGTGAGTTCCCAGTGCTGCATCCTGGTACTGCGGGCTGAGCACTGCAACCCAGTACTGCAAGCCGAGTACTGCATCCCAGTATTGAGGCCAATCACTGCAGGCCGAGTACTGCATTCCAGTACTGCGGGCTGAGTACGGCAGGCCGAGTACTCCATCCCAGTACTGTGGGCCAAATACCACAGGCCGAGTACTGCATTCTAGTGCTGTATCCCGGTACTATGGGCCAAGCACTGCAGCCTGAGTACTGCATCCCAGTAATGTGGGCTGAGCACTGCATCCCAGTATGTGGACTGGGTACTGCATCCCAGTACTGCAGGCTGAGCAGTGCATCCCAGTACTGTGGGCTGAGCACTGCATTCCAGTACTGAGGGCCAAGCACTGGAGGCCGAGTACTGCATCCCAGTACTGCGGGCTGAGCACTGCATTCCTGTAACTGCGGGCCAAGTACTTCAGGCTGAGCACTCCATCCCAGTACTGTGGGCCAAATACTGCAGGCCGAGTGTTGCATCCCAGTACTGAGGGCCAAGCACTGCAGGCTGAGTACTGCATCCCAGTACTGCGGGCTGAGAACTGCAGACTGAGCACTGTGTCCCAGTACTGCAGGCCGAGCACTGCATCCCAGTACTGTGGGCTAAGCACTGCATCCCAGTACTGTGGACCAAGTACTGCAGGCCTAGTACTGCATTCCAGCACTGCATCCCAGTACTGTGGGCCGAGAACTGCAGGCTGAGTACTGCATCCCAGTACTGCAGGCCAAGCACTGCATCCCAGTGCTGCAGGCTGAGTACACAAGCAGGTAGTCAGCATGCCACCTGAGGAAGGACTCGCAGGCTGTTTCTGATATTTTGCTATTACAAACAAAGCTGCTATGAACATTCACGTACAGGTTTTTCTGTGAGGATGTTTTAATTTCTCTGGGATAAATGTCTACAAATGCAACTACAAGGTCATATGGTAAGTGCACATTTACTTTTTTTAAACTTGCAAACTATTTCCAGAGTAGCCAAACCATTTTACGCTCTGTGGGAGATCTCCCTTCTCCATGTGGTCACTGGCACTTAGTATGACCGCTACTTTGTATTTTAGCAGTCCTAATACCTGCTCCCTGACACGTTGTAGCGGGTGCAGTTTCTAGTCTGCTGACGGCCAATGGCACGGAGCAGTGTTCTATGTGCCTCACTGCCATCCACATCTTGTGGGCAAAACGTCCCTTTGCGTCTTTCATCCATCCTATATTTGGACTGTCTGAGGTTTTTTGAGGATTGTGTTTCAAGAGTTTATATAACCTAGATAGAAGGTGTGCATCCTGTATGTGGTCTGCAAATATTTCCCCCATTCTGGGGCCTGCCCCTTCGTCCACTTACCTGGGCTTTCGGAAGCGCACATGTTTAGTTTTGATGAAGCCTACTTTTAGTAATTTTCAGTGTCCTATCTTAAGAACTCCTTACCAAGCCCTAGGTCCAGAAGATGTTCTTTGACGTTTTCTTCTGAAAGTTTTATACTTTTATGTTATGTATTTACTTTTTAATGTTTATTTTTAATTTTTATGTATGTATGTATTTTTAATTTTTGAGAGAGAGCGCGCGAGCAGGGGAGGTTCAGGGGCGGGGGACGGAGGACCTGAAGCGGGCTCTGAGCTGACAGCACAGGGCCCCACGCGGGGCTCAAACCCACCAACCTGACCTGATCATGATCTGACCTGATCATGACCTGACATGACCTGTGCCCCTACAGAGTCGATTTAAGTCCATGACCCATTTTAAATTATCTTTCACATTTGTGTGACACTGAAGGAAGTTTCCTTTTTTGCTTATTATTCCAGCACCACTTGCTGAAGACGACCCTTCCCCCACTGAGTTGCACTAGCACCTTCATCAAAATCAGTTGGGGGCATCTGAGTGCATTTCTGCTGGGTCCCGTGTTCTACCCAGGGGTCTGTGATTTTTATCCTTTCCCCACTACGTGGTCTCTTGCTTAAGGCAGAAATACATCAGTCTTAAGATCAGGTAGTTATTCTGACTACCTCATTGTCCTTTTCCAAAATCATTAAAAACAAAAAAAATCATTTTAGCTACTCTAGTTCCATTACATTTCCAGACAAACTTTGGAGTAAGCTTGTTTTTACCTAAAAAACCAAGTCTTTACTACTCTAAACGGAAAACCTGTGAGCTGTCATAAATACTGAAAATGAAACGATGTTATTAAATCTGTAGCTACGGACAGTTATTTAGGGACAAGCTAGGAGCCTGAGGCCTAACCACAACTACAAACACAAGGGCAGCAGCTGGGCCTGCTTGGGGGGGGGGGGGAGGTGGGGCGCCCAACATTAATGCTTCCACCCTGATTTAAAACAAAAACAAAAAACAAAAACAAAAACAAAAACAGGGACACCTGGGTGGTTCAGTAGGCTAAGCCTTCGTCTTTGGCTCAGGTCATGATCTCATGGTTCATAGGTTCAAGCCCCGCATTGTGCTGGGCGCTGCCAGCTCAGAGCCCGGACCCTGGTTTGGATTCTGTGTCTCCCTCTCTCTCTCTCCTCCACTCACACTCTCTGTCTCTCTCTCAAAGTAAATAAATTTAAAAATATATTTTAAAACACCCTGCTGGGATTTTGATAGGGATGGCATCAAACCTGCAGATCGATTTGGGGAGAACTGATGTCACACCCATCAGCCACGCCCCCAGCTCTAGGGCTGCCATGTTTGTTCTGTCTTCTGTCCCACTGCACCCTTTCCCCGCCTCCTTTAAAAGGGGAGGGGCTGCTGGGGTACCTCTCAGTAGAAAATCAAGGGGGCAGCCCCTAGGTGTCCTTACAGATCACATTCCCAGACATCTCAGTACAGCGACCAGGAGGCAGTCTGTGTGCCAGCAGCCCGTCGCCAGCGCTGGAATAAGCAGCATCTTTCCATCGTTACAAGATTGGTTTTGTCGTTGTTTTTACAACTTCCAAGCTGCTGTGACCTCGGTGATAAATCATGGTTTAGAATCTAAATTTAAAAAGCTTCCAGAGGAACCAGCACAGAATACAAGGCTGCTGGCACCTAGCTGAAGGCTTTTTTTCACTACATAATGTTACTAGGAAACGTTTTTACTGTATGGGGTCAGTGTGTAAATCAACTTTACAGCCTTCTGGAGTCAATCTCTGCGATTCGGATTTCCCTATCCCGTTCCTATCTCTTTCGTCTCCTGTTCATTAACATCTCCTCTGAAAACAGGTAAGGTAATGCTTTACATTGCGTTTTTAAAGTGTATTTCTAGACATTTCAAAGGAAGTTGCAAGGTTCTTGACTGAACTCTCACAATGTGCTCAGCACTCGCATGTACGATTTCATGACTCCTCTCATCTGCTACTCTCCTCTGTTCATTTCTCTCAATAAAACCACACATAAGTGAAGACAAAATTTGCATATGAAAATGTCTGTGCTTTTAGAACACCAATAATGTATTTTATAAGTTTGGAAATAAATTTATTTTAAAAGAACACGGCGGGGGGCGGGGCATCTGGGTGGCTCAGTCGGTTAAGTGTCTAACTCTTGATTTTGGCTCAGGTTATAACCTACGGCTTGTGAGTTCGAGCCCCGCATCAGGCTCTGCACTGACAGCACGGAGGCTGCTTGGGATTCTCTCTCTTCCCCTCTCTCTGCCCCTTCCCTGCTCACACACACACTCTCTCTCAAAATAAATCCATAAACATTTTCAAAAATAATAAAAGAACAGAAGGGAAAAAAAGTTATTTCCTTCCTCAAACACACCCAGTCTCCATTACTCCCTTTTTATCTGCTCTAACTCCCTATACTTGAAGTTCCTAATTATAAAACATTCTGAGATTTGGCAAAACGTGAAAACTGATACGCAAGTTTACTGTAAGACCAACTTACTCAACACACTGTTTTAATCAAACACGACATTACCTAAAATTATCAGTAACTTGATGGCTCCCAAGATATAAAGTCTATAGCATGGTATTCAAGCGTTTCCACAACAGGAATGGCCTCCCTCTTCCTAAACTCAACGTAAGTTCTCTTCTCTAGACTTGTGCTCTGCCCGCCTGTGTCCCTGTCTCCTCCATGCCTTGTCTCTAGCATGCCTTCCTCTCTGCCCACAGAAAGCCTTTTTAGCCTGCAAAATCCTAGCAGTAAAGCATTCTCTTATGAGCATTATGACGTTGTATGAACAGGATAAATTCTGGCCTCCACCTGACTTCAGTTTTACCCCAGGCTATGCTAATTACTGGCTCCTGTCTCTGAAGCTGGGTTTCCTCAACTATAAAACAGAACAACATCCAATTTAGATGACAGCCTAATCACGGAATTGTCAGAATTAGAAGAATACAGGTAACGTGTATAACACATAGTGAGAGTTAAATTACCACTGGAAAAAACCATTAGAATTAAGCTTATCACTTGTTTCTCGGAGTTTATAATTTGCTTGTATAATTCAATTAAGAGTTCACAATCAGGGCTCACTCCATCTCTTATACTTTTGCCCCAAATGGTTATTTAACTTCTGTTACTTTAGTTCTTTATGTCTTGTGTTTTGTGTCCCCAAACAGACTGGAAGCCGTTCACAAGTCAGGACTATATGCTACACGTACTTGAAATTTTATGCAGTTCAGCGCAGTGCTATTTATAAAAGAAGACTCCATGAATACTTCCTCAGTAAAGCATCTACTAAACTACAATCTATCCAGAAAATGAGAACCACATTTTAAGAGGTACGCTGACCCAGCAGAACATGTCCACTGAGGAGTAAAGGGAGAGACAGGAGGGAGAGGAGGCGTGGGGGGGAGGGGCACAATGTGACGGTGAGGGTATGTATGCGCATGGCAGATGGTGGGAGAGAGAACGTGTCCGTAAGCCTTGATAACAGAGAAACTACAGATACTTAGATGTTTAACCTAAAGATGAGAGGACTTCAGGAGGCAATGATAATAAGATAAATTAGATTATTATATGTGGTTCTAAGGCAAAACTAGGACCAATGATTAGGAGAAAAACTTCACATAAAGTAAAATCCTATGGCAGTGGACTGCCCGACAATGGAATGAATGGGATTCATTCACCACGAGGCACCTTGTAGCTGATGTGTGTGTAAGCAGAGCTCAGGGTTGGAAGGCTTCTCAGTGTCAACTCCAGGAAGACAGCTGTCGTGTGGAGGGCTGTACTGAGGGGGACGGTGTGTACCGTCGGTGGGAGGGGGTCTTGTGATGGCAGGAAGAGCTGTCACAGCTTGGAACACGGGCAGGTGACACAAACACCTCAAACTGACTATCTCCAATCCAGAGGAATTATCTTCAAAAGCAATCATTCCTTATTGAGAATTTAGATACGAATCGGGTAAAGTTTCCCTAAACCCCATGAGACTAACATTCTTTAAATGGTCAATAAAATGATACTTTTAAAGTATTTTTATTTTATTTTATTTATTTATTTTTAAAAAAAATTTTTTTTAAAATTTTTTTTTAATTTATTTCTAGGAGAGAGAGAGAGAGACAGCGTGAGCAGGGGAGGGTCAGAGAGACAGGGAGTCACAGACTGAAACAGGCTCCAGACTCTGAGCTGGCAGTCAGCACAGAGCCCGACGCAGGGCTCGAACCCACGAACTGCGAGATCATGACCTAAGCGAAAGTCGGATGCTTAACCGACTAAGCCACCCAGGCGCCCCTATACTTTTAAAGTATTTTTAAATGACAGTCCTCAGCTAGGACCTTGGGTTACTGTTTGAGCAACAAAAAAAGCCCTTTAGTTTCTCATCCTATAATTCGTTCTCGAGACCACAATGCCATCTTAAAAACATGTTGTGTTCTGCAATTTTCCAAGTATTTTCATGTTTTTAGTTTCAATAAAATTTGTGACTATCAAACATCAACAGGGAAAAGCATAGGAGTAGGCTAGAAAAATTTTAAGCAAAATATTTTACTTTTGGGGCACCTGTGGCTGAGTTGGATAAGCGACCAACTCTTGGTTTCGGCTCAGGTCATGATCTCACAGTTCATGGGACTGAGCCCCACACTGGGCTCTTGAGCTGACAGAGCAGAACGGGGTTGGAATTCTCTCTCCCTCTCTCTCTGCCCCTCCCCCCGCCCTGTTCATGCTCTCTTCTTCTCTCAAAATAAATACACATTAACAAAAATATTCTTCCTTTAATAATGTCCTAGAAGTGCATTGCTAAGTAAACCAATCAGCAGAAGATAATCACATCTTAAAAAAAAAAAAAAACTCACCACCAAAACAGAAACTTCCTCTTCTTCCCCCACTCCTGTCCTTCCCAAAGATTACCATCACCCACAACTTAGAAGGAACGGTCGCTTCTGTGTTACTGAGCAGAAGGACTCAAAGTGTGGTCTGGTGGCTGGACCAGCGGCAGCAGGAGCACCCGGGGATGTGTGGGAAATGCCAGCTCCCAGCCCCATCTGACCCAGAGCCCCGGAGCCCCCTGCCGGCGGGGCCGCAGCAAGCCCTCCGCGTCACTGCGACACGGCCCCGCGGTCTCTGACAACAGCGCCTTCCCTCTCAGACGGGTCAGGCTCCGCACCTGCTGCTCCCCAGCGCCTCTTCACGCTCACATCTTGCACAACCCAAGATGTCCTCATCTGAATGATTAATTCATCAGTAACTTTGTGATGGTTTCTTATGTTCTCTCCTTTTAAAATGTGAGCCTGCCGGGGCGCCTGGGGAGCTCAGTCAGTTAAGTGTCTGGCTCTTGGTTTCAGCTCAGGTCATGATCTCATGGTTTGTGGGGTCGAGCCCCACGTCGGGCTCCATGCTGACAGTGCAGAGCTTACTTGGGATTCTCTCTTTCTCTTTCTGTCCCTACCTCACTCACTTTCCCTGTCTCTCTCTCAAAAATAAACTTGAAAAACTTTTTTAATAAAAAATAAAATATGAGACTGCCTTTAAAACTGTATGTTTTAAAATTTATTACACATAAATTATTATGAACCGTTCATGGAGAAAGAAATTTTTAATGTGTGTCAAGAAGTAGAAGAATAGGGGCGCCTGGGTGGCTCAGTCGGTTAAGCGTCCGACTTTCGCTTAGGTCATGATCTCGCAGTTCGTGGGTTCGAGCCCCACGTCGGGCTCTGTGCTGACTGCCAGCTCAGAGCCTGGAGCCTGTTTCAGTCTGTGACTCCCTCTCTCTCTGACCCTCCCCTGCTCACGCTGTCTCTCTCTCTCTCTCTCCTAGAAATAAAAAAAACATTTAAAAAAAAAAAAAAGTAGAAGAATAATCCTGATGAAAAATCATTTTGTAAACAGGCCCACTTCTATCATTCCATCTTAAACTGCATACAGTTACACCCACATCTGTAGGGAAGACTTTCAATCAATCACTACACCGGTCAAGCAGTTTACAAAGAAACAATTACTCCACGGCCCTGGAAAGCACCACGTTGCCATGAAAAAGCCTCCTTGGACACACACACAGCCTGCTGCCGCATGGGGGGGGGGGCGGGGTGTCTTACCCACCTGTGCACGTAGTGCAGCTGATGAACGGAGTCGATCGCGATCACCATCTCAGCCAAGTAAAACCGAGCCATGTCCTCAGGCAGTCTGTCTTCAAATTTGCTGAGCAGCGTCAGCAAATCCCCGCCCACGTAATAGTCCATAACCAGGTACTGGGAAGAAGAAAAAGTAAGCAAAAATAAGAAGGGTGAAAAAGTACATGTAACAGATCCCAAGGTCAAGTAGCACTGGGGTCAAATACTGTCGTCAATTAACAAGAAGTTGTGTAAGATGATCTTGACAGGGCCTGTAAGCTTCCCAAGGCAAGAAAATAAAATTGTTAAAAACTGAGCAGGGAACAACAAAGGATTACCACTGCTTTGTTGTTATACTTTGCCAAGTAACAGCATCCACAAGTAACAGCAACATCATCCCCTTGAACAGACATTTCATAGAAGAAGAAACATTCTAATTCTCCAAAAATGGTGACAGTAACTCAGAATACAAGACAGTCATGCCTGTTGAATAAATTCCTCTTTATCATCATGACATTTTCCTTCCTTTCTCTTGGACTGGCAACAACTTCACTAACCCAGTACTTGGAGCAGCATGTGGAAAGCACTATGATACAGGACATAATAATTTCCACGATGTACGTATTTCCCCTCTTACTTCTGAAAGTGCAGAAATATCCACATGGACTCTTCTTAGGTCTATGGAAACAGATGTCCACTAATTTAAGACATGGACTCTCACAAGTATGTGTATATGATACTGTGATTTATAATCATATATATATATATATATTTTTGGCACAAAGCTGGCTTTTCTTATTTATAACGAACTCCTTCCAACCACACTGGTATTTATGCTACTGAGGTGACTTTTGCAAAGCCCTTGGGTAACCTAAGGACGGGGGTGGGTCACCAGGGGCACCAACCAAGACGGGAAGGTTGGAAATTTCCAGGGAAGGGCGGAGGAGGGACCCCTCAGTAATGGGCAGCACCCTGTGGACCACGCCTACGTGTGAGGCCTTGCTGGCACCCCGGAAGGAGGAAGGGAGAGCTTCAGGCTGGCCAACGGGTAGAGGCGTCGCTGAGGGGGTCGGCGCCCCTCTCGCCACACCTTGCCCTGCGCACCCGTGTCCGGGCGCTGGTCTGAGTCGGGCAAGCTGCTGCGGCGGATCGACCTCGTGGCACTGCCCCCCACCGTTTGACGCGGGTGTAGAAACCCGCTCTCCTAATGGCAGAAGCAAGGCGGTACGGAGAGAGTGCCATGCAACAAAGTGAACCAACAGTTCTCCTTCACCACGGGTGTGTGTGTGCCGGGAACGAAAGGACAAGGAGTTGACGCCAAGATGTTCGCAGGGATTAGCTCTGCAGTGTTAGGTTACCCGTGGTGTCACAGCTTTCTGGTATTTCCGTTCTTCTTTGTTTTTAAGTTTATTTATTTATTTTGAGACAGAGAGAGAGAGGGAGCGTGAGCAGGGGAGGGGCAGAGACAGAGGAGGTGAGAAAATCCCAAGGAGGCTCTGGGCCACTAGCATGAAGCCCGACACGGGTCAGTCCCACAAACCACGAGATCATGACCTGAGCTGAAGTCAAAGGTCAGATGCTTAACCGACTCAACCACTAGGTGCCCCGCTTTTTGGTATTTTCTATATTGCTTTATAAATATGTATATATGTGTGTATTATTATATTAATTATATCATACTATATCATATATTATGTATTTTTTTTAAGTTGAGTGAAAACAAGACACAGTAAAAAGATGGCCTTTGTAGACAGAGATATCTGTATTTAAATTTTGACCCTGGGTTATAAATAACTTTTGAAAAATAAATTACTCTCTTTGACACTTTATTTTGTCATCTATATATCTATGCTAACGACACCTTCTTCAGAGCATAGCACTCAGCGTGAAGGAGAGCACACAGAAGATACTTAAATGTCAATTTTAACACCTTGAAGTTAAAATGATTTTATTACCAAGGGGCACCTGGGGGCTCAGTTGGTTACGCGTCCAACTCTTGATTTCGGCTCAGGTCACGACCTCGCAATCATGAGATCAAAACCTGTTTTGGGCTGTGCACTGGGCATCGAGCCTGCTTAATATTCTCCCTCTCTCCCTCTCCTTCTGCCTCTCTCCCCTGCTCGTGGGAGCACAGGCTTGCTCGGTCCCTCTCTATTTCAATAAATAAACAAATAAGGAAAATTATTTTACTGCCAAATAAAGATATCACTTCAGTGACATCACCAAGTTGACATTTAAGATTTAAAGAGTCTTGAGGAAATTCACATTCGTACATTAAAATTATAAGCATGGGCAATTTTTGTTAAATGAAAGCAACCAATTTAATTTTTCAAATCCTTGAAAATCAGAGAAACAACGTATTTCAAATCCTGGTCTACAGTTTACTTGCTCTATTTACTAGGCCTAATGTTTAACAGACCAGACCCTATCATGAAGATCAGAACAAACCTATATAATGAAACTCTTAGCATAAACATGTTGCTAGCAAGGATGGCGGCTGTGGAGAAGAAACCCACATCTACTACTTTAAAGACGTACTGTGAGTAGCAAACACAAAACTTTACAAATAAAGAAGTCTGCTATCAAAACTGGAAGCAAATACTTCCACACAGAAAGTCATAAAACATGACTCACCCCCTTCAACAAACATTCACCGGGTGCCAATCAAGATTTTTCTATCCCAAACCCAGAGAAGAAACCAGGGGATAAGAAGGCAAAGGGCTCCTCCATCCGAGGCTTTCCTGCCTCGACGGTGCACAGGAGCTACTGTCTCCCAGGCTCCTAAGGTCTGGGGGTAACCATCTGCCAGTCCACTGCTAGAAAACACCCATCTCCACATTTTTGCCACCCACGGTCCCATTCAAAGTTTAGGCTCCCTGTGTCAGCCTACCGCCTACTTTTACCCATAATCTGCTACGTGCTCCCTCTTAATAAACCCCGTGGATCCCTTTCCTTGGGCCTCTCCATGTGTCTTACTGGACCTCTTCTATGATAATAAAGCTCCATGAGATTATGAATATAATTTTGTATATTTTTGTATATACAAATATATAGATTTGGGCGCCTGGGTGGCTCGGCTGGTTGAGCGTCTGACTCTTGGTTTCGGCTCAGGTCGTGATCCCGGGGCTGTGGGGTCGAAAGCCCTGCATCAGGTTCCATGCAGAGCATGAAGCCTGCTTGGGATTCTAATAAAATTTTTAAAAAATTATGAATATCTAATTATTCCTAGTTTTCCTTTCCTGCGGCCTGCTAAACAGCGTGCTGGCTCTGCCTGCTCGTATACTCTTCCCCTACTCTGCCCTCAGAGGTAAATTAGCTGTTACTAGGACAGAATTCAGCAACTGGAGAGAGCAATGAGCAGAAACACCAAAGAAAATTCATAAGAGACAAGCGAGGAGTTAAAATTAACTACACCTGCAATCGGGTTTTGGTATTAGGGAGACAAGATGAATTAGAAACAGAGAATAAAAACCTCACATAGGGAAAAAGCTCCTTCTGTCCAAAACCGAGCCCAGCAGATCCCTCCCAAGAGCTGCAAGTCATTCTTTTACGTGTTCCCCTTTGTTCAGGACAACGTTTGTCACAATCGCCCAGGTCCTGCGACTTCCTCCTGAATCTCCTGGGGTCCATCCACTTCTACCCCACCCACTTCCCCAATCCTCATCCAGGCCCCTGGCCGCCTCCACTGTATTACTCTTACAGGTATAGGGACAAAGTAAATAGCTTCCTATTTTATATTTTATTCTGTAAATGACTTTCTTGGGAATGGAAGACAGAATACCGAACAAGAGAGAAACATAAATATAAGCTCATTCACAATTCCAGAGAGAAAGGACCCACTGTGTGTGAATATCACACTCCACAATGGAGCCGCTACAGTGACTAAGTCAGGCCTCCTGCCTCGATTGAATTTACAACCTAATGGAGAAGAAAACACAAATCAGTGGGGACTTCAGTGTCCTGTAAATACTGTGACAGGAAAGTAGAGGGTATTGCTGTAGGCCCTTTAAGGAACAGAACCTGACCTTGGATCATGTTCATTCATTCATTCGTCTAAAATGTCTTTTTGTACAAGGTGTGAAAGCTACTCTCTTATTTAAAGAGTCAATTATCTGGGACACCTGGGTGGCTCAGTTGGTTAAGTGTCCAACTTCGGGTCATGATCTCGCAGTTCGCAAGTTCGAGCCCCGCATTGGGCTCTGTGCTGACACCTCAGAGCCTGGAGCCTGCTTTGGACTCTGTGTCTCCCCATCTCTCTCTGCCCCTCCCCCACTCATGCTCTGTCTCTGTCTCAAAAATAAATAAAACATTAAAAAATAAATTTTAAAAAAGAGTCAATAATCTAAAAAAGCAGTTAAATATCCGTTCTTTCCTGTAATTAAACTGAAATGTCCCCTTATCATAATTCAGGATGTGAAATACACTTGGATCTGCTCTTGGGCACTCTGTCTTCCTGTGGTTGTCTATTCCCATGTCAATATCATATGGCTCTCGTGAATAATTAGTAAAGTTTAATATCTGCTAGAACTTCCTACTTATCAACTACCTTTAAAGTATTACCCAATATGGCAAAGATGTCTTTAAGCAAGTTTAAGAAAAATATAGATTGAGGGGTAATGTTGGCAAGATATGTCAAGGACATGATAATCCCATCACAAAGGCCTCCCACCAGGTGTCAAGAAGAGGGCAAGCAATCCAGCAAAATGAGGCTGAGGCCGTATTAACAATTAATTCATCTGAGAGGAAGCACAATTAGCCAATTATTATATGGTCACAACCAAAGTGACAATGAGATCCATTTTATACCAATCAGAGCAGCAAGAAGCCCATTCCTGTTTTGGGAGCGGTGAGTTGAAACAACACTGCGTTCTTGAGGATGACACACTGCAACTCCTCGGGAAAGTAACTGCCTGTATCTGTTGAAATTTAAAAGGTGCGTGTCCTTGGACCCACTTTTAGGAATATAGTCAATGAAAAGAAAAACTCCAATTATGTCGGGCATGTGGACAAGTATATTTACTGCACAGCACTTCGATAACTGCCCCAAGTCAGAAGCAATATGAAGAGAGATCAACAAGAAACTATTAAATAGATCCATTCAACATGGTCATTCTGTGGACTCTTATACAGTCGCCAAAAAGAATAATTAAGTATATATGCCCATGGGATCATTGAAGGACAAGAGCAAGATGCAGAGTAATATATACTTGGTTTTTACATTTCTAGCGCTGTGTATTGTAGAGGCGGAAAGAGCTAGTCACACTGCAGTGGACCAGTGCAGTCGAGTTCTGTGAAGGGCCAAAGGTGATGGACCCAAAGTCAAAGGCAAACAGCTCACCCACAGTGAGAGGAAGAATGAGAACAGGTACAAATAGGAGCAAATCTGCACAGATCCAGAGGAGGTGAAAGGTAACGCTGAGACTAGAGCAGGGAAAGTGGGGTGTTCATGCTTGAGTGACCAGCACTTTCACCGTCCCCATGAATTAGGAGTCCCAGAGTGCGGACACAGGGTACTTAGATAAGGTCCCTGTACTGGACACAGGGATCGCAGCTGCTGCGCCGCCTTACGGCTGTGTATTCAGAGGTGTAAGAAGTGAAACGATTTGCCCAAACACACCCTGGGCAGTGGAAAAACCAGAACTCAGGGTTCTTGATCCTGAGATCACTTTCTTTTTACTCAAAAGACTCAGTTCCATAAAAAAGCTGACTACATTCATTACATAAAGAATATGCGCAGAATGCCGGAATAATAAAAAAGAAATTCAAGGTCCAGACTGAGTCTTCAGCAATCTTTCATCCCTCCAAAATAAACCAGACCACTAGATATGGCTGTAACACACCATAAGATTTCCAGCTCCCAATTTCTTTAAAAAAAAAAAAAAAATCTTTATTTCAAAGCTTGTGCTTCTAAGAAACTACATTCCAAAGAAACAATGCTAAAATGTGTAAAAGCACACAAAAAATGAACTGTGTTCTGGAGAAAGAACATCTCTTAGAACAGATATGCTTTTGGGAGTTTCCTTAGGGAGAACAGGAAGTCCGTTTAGTCCACCTGCTGCCAGAGACACCACTAGTTAATCCTGGAGCCCACACTGCACTAACCCCCTTCTTGCCTTGTTTGCCAACAATTTCTATCCTCAGCACAAACTGGATTCCAGTAAAGAGTCCGGAGTTCATCTCCGGAGTTCATATGACTAATCACCATCTAACATTTAAACGTCTCTTATCCTGTAAACAGTTTACAAATGCTAATTTAAGAAGTAAAATTTTTGTTTTAAATATTTTCCGGATTTTTTTCCCCTCCAGGATAAAATACCTAAACAGGAAAAGTGGACAAGAAGGTATGAAGAAGAGACACACTGCACGGATTCAAAATATTCTAAATGATATCTAAGTGAGAAAAACTGTTATGTGACCCTGTTGATGCAACTAAGCAGGTCTGTGTTTAATTAGTTTTTTAAAAAATAAAGGTTCTAATCACATTTTAAGATCATTCGTTAAGGTACGCAACTTATCTGACGCACATAAAATGCTATGACTCTATATTTTTCCAGCAACGGGCTGTGGAGATATCTGAGCAGGTTATACGTGAAACTGAAATTATTCCTCATGGCTTCCTCGAATCACACAGCACTGCAGATCAGGTTATTTTGGAAAAGAACCGTAAAATAAATTTTCCTTTTTGGTATCTAAGACTAGATTTGCCAACATTGCTAAATGATTTTATTTTCTAATATTTCATAAATATTCAACAGAAAATCTTTGGTGATGACCAAGGTAATTTAGGACTCATACTCTTGAGACTAACACAGCGCGAACTTCCCCTACGCTAAGGAAAACTGGCGATTTACAGATTTTGTCTATTTCAGTGCCCCTCCTGTTAAACTCTAACTTTTTTTTTTTTTTTTTTATTTCTAGGAGAGAGAGAGAGAGAGAGAGAGAGAGAGAGAGAGAGAGAGAGACAGCGCGAGCAGGGGAGGGTCAGTGAGAGAGGGAGTCACAGACTGAAACAGGCTCCAGGCTCTGAGCTGGCAGTCAGCACAGAGCCCGACGAGGGGCTCGAACCCACGAACCGCGAGATCATGACCTAAGCGAAAGTTGGACGCTTAACCGACTAAGCCACCCAGGCGCCCCACTCTAACTTTTATTCCTAATAGAATTAATCACACAGATACACAGATTACTTCTCACCAAGAAATTAATGAGTGATGTATACAGATTATTTCTCAGTGAGAAATAACTGATATATACAGACTACTTCTCACCGAGAAATGAAAAAAGCCAGGTTAATTCTAATGTCAAAAGCAAAGGGCACATAGAAGACTAAACTCAGAGAAGACAGAATAAGTCAGACTTTTTGTCAACGAAAATGAGGCAAAATTTTACTATACAAGATTCGGTAGTTGGATACTCTAGTTCTGTATCTGTAAATTTCTACATTTCTAATGAAATGCAGAGTTTTAAGCAATCCCTGAATCCACACTGTTGTGCCTATCTATAACAGAAAAACACGGTGACTGGTGGATTTTAGTCCTTATTACCTAAAAGCCTTCAAAAATCCATCATGATGAACTGCTGTAAGTTTGCTAAGCAAAAACTTGGTGTGTGTTTACTCTTGGAAATTTTGCTAACAAACCTGTGTAGATTGTATTTGCGCTGACACACTCACCACAAAAATTTCACAGAAGTATGGTAAGTTCAAGTCAAATACCATCCCACTCAATTTAACAGAACTAATGTATGCAAAGCTCTACAACAATTCTGACTAAAACCCACAATAATAAATACGATTTATATGATGATTTGATACATATTATTCAAGAAATAAATGTCACAAGACAATAACTCCTCTTACTGCTTGAACTCTGTCATTTCCTGTTTTACTTAATTTTTTAAATGCTGGTTGTAACCCCCCTTGCATTGATTTTATGATCAACCAACGAGTCATAATAAAACTTTCAATCTGAAGTTTGAAACACACTATTTCAGTCTGGAAGCGTGTAAGGAATATAAAGACAAGATCTGGCCTAAATTAGACGAACTCTGTGACTACTAAGTTACACAAACTTTTAATTATATTTTCGCTTAAAGATGGCAGGGTTCATGTCATTTAAGTCAGAGATGTATATAGACATGTGTCACTCATATAATGGCAGCACTAATTCATGAGCATATAATTTTTTATTTATTTTCTTGAGAGAGATAGAGAGCAAGTGGGAGAGGGCAGAAAGAAAGAGAGAGACAAAGAATTCTTAGCAGGTTCTGTGCTGTCAGCTCAGAGCATGATGTAGGGCTTCAACTCACGAACCACGAGAACATGACCTGAGCCGAAGTCAAGAGTCGGACGCTTAACTGAAGAGGCCCCCGAGGCACCCCTCATGAGCATATAATTTTAATGAAGCATATCCCTCACTTGGAAGGCCTTTACTGACTGTTCTGATACCTGTGTTTCGGCGTGTCATTTCACTGCAGATTCATCACTTCTAACTAACGGTCAGGTGGGAGTTCTCCAATGCCGTAAAGTGGGTTTGGAACTATGGACATTTCCTTAGCACTCAAATCCCCAAAACTAGTGCTAAATATAGTTTGAGCTCAAAAGGTCCATCTGAAGCAAGCTTATGTGGAAATGGGGATCTCATTTCTTTTCACTTTTGACAGCATGAGAATTAGATAAAGCAGCTCGACAGGACCTGCGATTCCAGTTAAGGTGAGCTGTCAACATGACAGGGTAAGTTGTACATGTCTGTGTGCTGCTTTGTCCTAGAATCTTGGGTTAAATTTATTTTAAAACATATCAAGTCTACAGGAAACACTAATTTCACAGCTATTCAGTATTCTCTAATAATGGCTGAGGGTGGGTTTTTTTTGTTCAGACATGTTTCGATCTTGGCCCTTTGCCACAAAACGTTAACAGCGTAAAAGCACCAAACACACGGACGTGCAGCTGGGATTTCCAACGAAATTTCACGGATGTGGGAACAGTTGCTTCCATGAGACTGAGTAAAGCTGACCAGTGACATTACTGATTCAGTGACAAAGGACAGATTCACATATCTGCTGCCGGCTCCCTGCTGACTAAGAAGACAAGGGATATCTGCGGGCATTAGGCGCCTGGTATTTCACATTACATGTAAATCCGTCCATGCCTGCTTTCACTGCTCTCCATGGTAATACATCGAAGCAGAGAACATTCAGGTTGTACCTAATTCGTGTCTTCTCAACTTCTCTGAAAATTCTTTCACTGTAAACATTCCACACTAACTATTAATAAAGGCTGATGTGTCGGTCACTGCAAACTCAGGCCCGGCGCCTCAAAGAACAACAGAACGGAATTCATAACCTCCTTCAACTCCAGAGCCCAAACCAACCACTCAAACTCATTTCCTGGTTTTAAAATCAACTACTGCTGCTGTTCCCAACGTCCCCCCATTCTTTAAGCAACTGTTCTCGCCCAAAGGCTGACCGTCAGAGCCGAGTCTATTCTCTATGAATGCGTTTCTTTGGCCGCGGCCACAAGCCTGATTGAATTCACTGGACGCTGGGAAGCGGCCGGTCATCCCGCCTGCCCGTCTGACAAACAGGCCTTCACGCGCTGCCTACGGCTGCCGCACCCTTTTCAGGTTTTATTTCTGTGACGAACTTCTGCGGTGATAAGGTATTGTTTTCTGGTCTGCGACCTTCCTGACGGCTGGGAATGCCGCGATCGGAGCTCAGAGCTCGCCGTGCACGGGGGACACCCGCGTTCCAGCAGGACAGTGGCGGGCGGTGCCTGGCCACACCGGGGAAGTCCCATGTTGGTCTAGAATGCCATTTTAAAAAATACACAAGAGTTCCATGACCAAAAATCCTCATCGCTTTGAGAAACGTGGTTAACTTCTTTCCCGTGGCCTGTCCGGGGCTAGGTGCTGGGACCCTCTCCCTCTCTCCCCCCCACGCCCCTACTCTCCCCCCCACCGGGGCGAACACAGCAAGCTGCTTCACCCTGCACACTTGGACTCACCTAGCCCGCTCTGCCTCTCCTCCCTTCTTGGCTTAACTGACAGTCGTCTCAGAAGGGTCCTCACCGACCTCACGCCTTTCAGTGAATGTTCTACCTTCTTCACCTGAGACCCTCTGAGAATATTACTTACCTGACTTCGGATTCATCGCCTGGAACAGTAAAAACAGAGCTCCTCTGTCCCTTACCAACACGTCTCCAGAATCTAGAAAGCAGCGCCTAGCACCCGGCACACGTCCAGTGAACGTATGTCACGAGAACAAGACATCGTGTTAAATTTTCTACCCCAGGACCCAGTGTCGTGCGTGGCACATGGCAGGAACTCAACACGTGTGCGCTAAAAAACCGCAAAATAAAAACTAGGGCCAGAAAACACAGGGGTCGTAGGCGGGGGCGTGCAGCCCCCTGCCTCTCCTGCTTCCTTGTTCGTCCCTTCAATCGTCACTTAGCAGCACTTTGCATGCTTCTGTTTTCCTCCGAGCTCACCCCGGTTTCTTCTGTCACGTGGTCCGTGACATCCCACACAGAAGCAGGTGCAGCCTGGATGCAAAACGCGGCTCTGCTTAAAGTGGCACGTGGCCGCTTTGAAAACTTTTATGTAAAATTCCAAGTAGTAACAGAATACTACAAACAAGACATACTGGGGAAGTGGTGAAAAGAGAAAATCCTGAGCACCTTTTACAGAATTTAAATGTTTGCATTTAGTGTGGACTTGCCTATTAAAAAGCATAAAAAATTCCAGGAGAAACGTACTGAAGTACCTCGGGGGGACGGGTGGAGGACAATTTCTACGCTGTGGAATTCAGTGGTTTTCTAAATAAAAACTACATTTAAATACCACTTAAAAGAAAATAACCGTAAATTCTGCCCATAAAAACGCAATAAGAATACTGAAACATATAGAAACGGTTCTTACTAAGTTATTGTCGTCCTGGAAAGCATAGTGCAAGGTCGTAATCCATTTGTTATCTCCATTCACTAAGACGTCCCTTTCTTCACGAAAACATGCTGTCTGAAAAGGGGGGAAAAAGATTTTTTAATGAGAGGACACTTCACGTAAAACTAGGAAATATATGATGCAAACAACTGCTTAAGATGTTTATCATGCTTTCTGTCCTGGAAAAGGAACACATCCGAGGTTATAGGACTGGTCAACAAGTCAGGCACCCTCAGGAAGCAGACAACAGGGATGAGACCCTTGAAAACATTTCCTATGAAGCAACACTGCCGTAGTTTCCAACAACCAGAAAAATGCACGTATTCACCCCGCAACCACGGCCCATGTAGGTAACACTTTGCCATCTTTACTTCCGTCCTTTTTAATTTGAAGGACATAAAATACAAGTAAGTGGTCATCTTGCTCTTTTCGCCCCACCCACCTCCCCTGATAAAATGACTCATCCGCAGATGTTATTTTCTTCCCCTCGTGTGCCTGGATCACACGTATACGTGTCCAAAAACAAAGAAATGCTTTGCATTTTGAAATTTTCCATGAATGTTATCATTTTATCTACCCTTCTGCAACTCGATGACTTCTTATTCAATGGTGGCTATTTTCCTTTCAACTGCTGTGACAGCCTGTTGGAACCTGCTGGAATTTATCCACGCAAACCCCCAGCCAGGAAAACACAGTTACCTTCATTTTGTTACTAGGGTACTGCGGTGAACATACCTGTATGAGAGCCTCTCCAGGTATATGCTTAGGGGCAGAAATGCTACCCAGAAGCATTTTCAGCTTTACCAGACGTAGCCAATTTTCCCTAAGTTTGTGCTGGTTACTACCCGGTGGAGAAGTCTCCCCTCTTCCCCACATCCTCAACTGCATTTGGCATTATAAGACTTTAAAGCGTGTCAATACAGGGGGTGTAAAACCCCATGCCACCGTTCTTTTCATTCACATACTCCCAATTACGCACGCAGATAAAGAGCGTTACCTACGCTTCCTGGACAACTGAACTTCCTCTGAATTGTTCACTCACCTTTGTCCATTTTCTCTAATGGACTGTTTTTTCATTTTTGATTTGTAGGAGTTTTAGTTTATTCTGAGACTGTATTTCCACTATTATAAAAGTAGAACCCTCAGAAATGTGTGGCTTAAATTAAAACATTTTATATGATACAATATAATTCTATAATCTATCCTTTTTATTTTTTAATGTTTATTTTCAAGAGAGAGAGTGAGTGAGAGCAGGGGAGGGGCAGAGAGAGCGGGGGGACACAGAATCTGAAGGAGGCTCCAGGCTCTGAGCTGTCAGCACAGAACCTGACGTGGGGCTCGAACCCACAAACCGTGGGATCATGACCTGAGCCGAGGTTGGACACTTAACTGACTGAGCCACACAGGTGTCCCAATAATCTATCATCTTTAAAGTTTTAATTTAAAAAGCCCCAGTACACCAGAAAGTTCAAAAAGAACTGAAGGGTAAAAGTAAAATCTCAATTTTCTGAGTCACGCCCCACACTTTCAGTGTCACGTGTGTCCAGGTCACCACCAAGAACTCTGGGGTCTCAGAAATTTCTTAGAAAATTTGTGTCTCTGGGTGAACGCACGGGTGCATGTGAACACACGCAATATTCACGTGGTGCCTCATCTCCCCTATCTTTTCTTTTCTTTATGCAAATCAGATCACGGTGCTCTGCAAGTTTGTTTTTTGTTTTTGTTTTTGTTTTTGTTTTTTTTCAAGTAACCCTATACCCGAACAGTTTTCCAAACCAGGACACACACCTCCTTCTCCCTACTGGCTGCATAATACTCCGGGCACACTGAAGAGTCACCACAGTATTCTATCTGGGGGAGGCGCCGACTTTCAGATCTCCCATAAAATAAGCTCAACAGCCATAATACACAAAACTATTAACATTACCTCATCAAGTACCTCCATTTTTTTCCATGTATATCCATAAATTTTATTTGATCAGATAAAACTTCCAGAGCCATGCATGAATTGGCACCAGAGAAAATTTTAAAAATCGTTAAACCAAATCAACAAGCAGCTTTACCTGCCAATCCGGTGACTGAAGTTCACTTGATGCTTTGGTTCACTTTAGCAGGAAAGCAGAACCACCCAACTCACTCCCTGCTAAGTCCTGTTTCAGAGCCTGAGTGACATACACTTACAGTCCGAGAGCGGCACAGACTGTTCGAGCCCAGAAGACTCCTCTCTCCTGACTTTATTTTGTTATAAAAGCTTTCTGGAATCTCAAAGACAGTCTAGCTAAATTCTAAAAAACGTTTGACAAGGGACTCCAAGTAAACAAAGCTCCAAAGACAATTTGTCAACAGATTAAACGTTAGCACATTCTAATCTATTCTGAACCATTCAGTGAAAAAATAATTTTAAAAAATATAAACTATAACCCAGAACTTCAAACATATACAAGAGAAAAGAATGAAACCACTTCTTCCCCACAAGGTTCTCATCAACCAACTTCAACAACTATGTTACTGTTCCATCCTGTTTCATCCACACCCTCAACCCCTCACCCTTGCCACCACCCTCCCTCCATGGAAACGTGTGTGTGTGTGTGTACACACATGTGTACACACACACACACACACACACACACGCAGACTCTTTTTTTTTTTTTTTAAGCAAACTGCAGACATCCTAGGATTTTATTGGTAAGTATTTAGGTATTAAACTAGTCCTATCAATGCCTCAGATACCGAGATTAGATGTTAAACACAGTCTTTTTTGCTCCAGTAGGTCACACTGTCCTCAGGTGTCACAAGTGGGGTAAGGGTGGTTAGGACAATCTCATGGGAAGAGGCCGAGGATGCTGCTACACATCCTACAATGCATTAGGAAGCTTATGCCTCAAGGACTTATCTGGTCCCAAATATTGTAAGTGCCACTGCTGAGAAACCTTGTTCTCAATCAGTACGAACCAGACCATGATGCCTGCATTACTTTAAGCTTCATGAAGCTGTAACAAGGAGTCCACATGTCTAAATAGGCTGTAATAATGTCTTTTACCTTTAAAAAAAAAACTCACTAACTTTTAATATCCCCCTTTAAAACAGAATATTTGAGTATATAAGAATGTAATATATATGTGGGAGGGGCTGCTGGAGATCATACGGCTTTCTTCAGACTCTGTCATGCGGTTTCTATTCAACCATATATACTGTTTGCCACAGTGCTGTTGTATCTGCTTTGCAGCTTTATATTTTTAATACGCAGTTATATATTGTTTAAACTTTACCCTTAACGGGCTACTGGTTAAAGAGAAAGAGCAACAGTAATACCTATGCTGAAACAGAAGTTAATATGGACCATATACAAATGATAATAATTCTGCACAAGTGTCACAGGATTATTTTCCCCAGATCAACAGGTGTATCTTAGATCAACATTCTTACAAAGCACACCAAAACTGTCTCAATAGTTGAAAATCATGTGTTAAAATGAAAATACCCACTTGTGATTATATCCACTTTGGCCTCCCATTTATTTGTAATAGAGATTTCTCTCATCCATAAAGTATTCACAGAGAAATTCTTTCAAATAATAAATCATTCTCTTGAATCTAGTATTTGAGGAGAAAAAAGACAATTTTTTTTATTTTTTAAAAAATAAGAAAACAAGTGTTATTTTTAATTGCGAAATGCAAGAATTCCAAATATCAGGTCTTATTCACCATGGCATCAGTTTACTTCCAAATCTCCATTTCAAAGAGACGTGACAGCCAAACCAAACGTGAGCTACATCATATTTCAACTTATTTGTCAGCAAAAGAAAAATTTTCTTACATAATTAAGGAGAAAAATCATTTAATAATGGCCAAACTTGGGAAATATGTGATATGTGAGAAACCAGACATGTTTAAACCCTTTGAGTGCCAAGGTACACTGATCCAACTTTTCCCAAAGACTATGAAAGTCTCCATGTACAGGTGCCCCTCTGCAAAGGGGATCCACTACCGAGGAATTTAATCTGAGGAATGGATACATGTTAGAGTCCACACAACATGAATATCCTGCAGTGTAAAAACTATCCTTGAACATGGCAGACTACGAACCCTTGAGACCCTCTCATTCTAATTTACACCACACATGCTTCTGAGGCGCAGGGAGTAGTTCTGATGCGCTGTCTTCTCGCATTTTCAATTTTCTCTCTGCCAGCCACACACACTCAGATGTGCTGAAATGACTCAATGTGCTGGTAATCTGATTTCACCTTGCTGAGAATTCACACTTTGATTAAACTCGCTATTCCAAGGGATATGTGTAAAGATTTTGACCACAGAAGAGTTCAAGATAGTAAAAATGGGGACAGAATCTAAATGACCATCAATATTTTAAAAAAAAAAAATCAAGCTACTAAAATATATATCCATTCAGTATAGTGAAGCTATTTAATAGGATGCAATAAATGTATAAATATGGAAATAGAAAAACCTAATATATACATAATTAAATGATAAAAGCAATGTGAAAATCAGCCTTTTAATATGATTTCATTATAATAAAAATTTCCATTAAAGACAAATATGAAAACTCTTAGTAGTGGTTTACTTTGAATAGAAAGATTAGACATTTGAGGAAGAAAAGAGACCCTTCATATTTTTAGTTTTTATTTTCTGTTGTGCTTACATGCTTTCTTTTAATGTAGGTGGCAGACCAGGAAGTAAGGCAGGTCAAATCCAATGGCCTCATTTCATTAATATTACTATTACTGGCCCCTGCCATTATGAAAATAATAATCAAGGAATAACAACAGTAACAAAACTACTAAGGCCAGTGGCACAAACCAGTACCATCACAGTTCAACCCAGGTACATTATTAGCCTATAATCTGTATTTTTTTTTAAATTTTTTTAAAAATATTTTTATTTATTTCTAGGAGAGAGAGAGAGATAGACAATGTGAGCAGGGGAGGGTCAGAGAGAGAGGGAGATACAGACTCTGAAGCAGGCTCCAGGCTCTGAGGTGGCAGTCAGCACAGAGCCCGATGCGGGGCTCGAACCCACGAACCGCGAGATCATGACCTAAGCGAAAGTCGGATGCTTAACCGACTAAGCCACCCAGGCGCCCCACCTATAATCTGTATTTAATGAGCGGGATGACAGAGCCAATGGAGAGCATTCTGTCAACTAGTTCACACCTTCCAGGAAAATGAGCGAGGAAAATTCATCTCCCACAAGGCGCTGAATACATTCTGAAGAGAAGGTGATATTTACAGAACAGATTGGGAAAAGTTAAGGGGCTGCTGACAAAGTCTGCAGATGATGAACGGGCAGGGACAGCGGCCTCCGTAACCGTAAGATTGGTTAGCAGTTATTCAGCTGCCTCAAAAGAGAGAGGGTGTCCTATCACCTTCAAATAATGCATACCCCACCGAGTATATATTTGTTATGTAACAAGTAGGGAAATAAATACAGCAACTAGGTTAGAGGTAAATCTTTGAAAAATTATTTTGTTTTGTTTCATTTCATCTCATTTCACTTTAGAGAGAGAGCATGCCTGTGAGCAGCGGGCAGAGGGAGAGAGAAAAACTTAAGCAGGTTCCATGCTCAGCATGGGGCCTGACATGGGGCTCAATCCCACAACCCTGGGATCATGCATGACCTGAGCCGAAATAAAGAGGTGAACACTCAACTGACTGAGCCACACAGGCACTCCTGAAACACTGTTTTAAAGCACCGACAACGCACAGGTTAAAAATCCCAACATTTGCCCGTCATCTGTAAATTTTTAAGCATCACGAGTAGGCCCAGTGAGCCAAAGTGGGAGAAGTCACGGTCAGAACGGCGGTGTTTTTAACATTTGTTTAAAAAAGGACTTAATAATTCAAGCACAGATATACAATTCCACTCTAGTTCAAAATTAATCTCTCTTTAAAAATTTCAATGTCAGGGCACCTGGGTGACTCAGTCAGAAAAGCCTCTGACGTTGGCTCAGGTCATGATCTCATGGTGTGTGAGTTCGAGCCCCCATCAGGCTCTGTGCTGACAGCTCAGAGCCTGAAGCCTACTTCAGATTCTGTGTCTCCCACTCTCTCTGTCCCTCTCCTGCTCATGTTCTGTCTTGACTTTCAAAGACAAATAAATGTTAAAAAAATTTTATTAAAAATTTTTTAAAGATTTTGATATAGAATTTCTGTAATGCAAGTTTCAAACAGTTCCTTTAGAATACTGAATCAGCCTGTATCCCTGAAATAAAACCCATCCATCATGGTGGACGAATTCTATTATATATACTGCTGAATTCTATTTGCTAACATTTTGTTAAAGATTTTTTTTTATCTACGTTCATGAGGCATTTTGGTCTTTAATTTTCTTTGTGTGGTCCCTGTGTGGTCTTCCTGTCCGAATATTACTGACTTCACAGAGTAAGTGCTGTTCCTCAGGCCCCACGGCCCACCTCCTTCTCTCTGCCTTGCAGTGTCTTCTTATACATGTTTTATATGCAATGTCCAGGGCCTCGGAGGCTGTACTTAATGGGAGGGATAGGAAGAAGTACGCCTATTCCATCTTGCCCGGCACACCGACTTCAAAGAAAGCAGTGCAGCCTTTAACTCCATTTTTAACAACTCCAAGGCTGAAACACTAACCTTCCCACAATTACGATTTCCTGGAAACAATGAGAACATGCTTGTTTACTATTTCTTACTAGTAAGATCCGTCGCTCCCGCCGCTGACAACGCCACCAGCTTCTTCGGCGGCAGGAACTCTACTGTTCCCAAGGCCACGTCCTTCCGGGGACGGCCCGTCCTCAGTGATCGAACGCGGCACATACAAAAAGGTCAGTCCTCTGGCCTCACACGGGGCTCCAAGGAACCGTTTCTGCTCCACAGCTCCCTGCTGGACAGCTTGGCTTCTCCCTGAAAGTGACAGTTCACCCCCTTTCCCTCCCATCAGTCCCCATCTCAGAAGAACGTCCTCATTCAAGCTCAGTGTTTCCCACCTGGCAAGTCTGACCAGTGACCGTAAGGCGAGTCGGTGTCAGGAAGCAGATTCAAAAGCGCAGACTGAAGTTACTGAATACAGTGGACACTGGCGCGTACGCCAGAAAGTGACAAAAGTCTCCAAATGCTTTTCTCAACAGGAGAGGGGGCGGTGCGGGGCAGGGTGTGGTCAAAGAGGACCTCAGCTTTGTCTGTAACGTGCTAGTGTTTGTTTTAGTGATAATATATTTCTATTTCATTTCTGTAGGGTTTTTTTTTTTCCCCAGGAGACACATAGAAATTAAGACTAAAGGCAGAAACTTCCCCTGAATGTCAGTGATTAATTCTAGGTGACTGGATATAAATGACTGTTAGTTTCTCCTTCGTGTTTGGTTACATTCCTCAAACTTCCCAAAGGAAACAGCTAATGAAGTATTTCACTACGTCCCATCTTCCAGCAGGGCAACGTTCTTTGCTTCCCTCCGTATGTTTGGTGTTTCCCAGGCTGCTACAAGTCCTGGTACGTAAAGATTTCCAAACGCTATTTCTCGTGAGAGAAATCTTACTGGGCTCCAGAGCTAATATTCAGCCTGCTCAGCAGTATGGTCCTCCCACAAGTTGAAATACTAAAATACTTGCATCACCAGTAAGTTCTGCTTCCTGGAAGCCCCTGAGGGCCCAGCCCCCTCCAGACCCTCACCAGGGTAGAACACGGCAGGAGACTCCACAACCCTCCCCCCAAGACCTGTGTGTTACATCAGTTCTGACCACACCATACCAGCCATGAGGTATCTGCAACCTCACTCCAGCTGATCCTTCCCTTGTGTCAAGGACCAGCACAGAAACAATGGCAATTCTTGCAACAGCAGATTCTACTACCATCCTCTAATAATGTAAAAAACACAAACTGAATTGTATAATCAATAACAGAACTCTTACAGGGCACTTTCAAAGCTCCTGCTCACTTCTGCTTTGAGCAGAACATAGATACATAGAGAATATAAACAAGTTACATCAAGCTGGAACTCAAGCACTACAAAATTTTTTCCTATAAAAGAAACAGGTTCCCAAACACCCTTTTCACATGAACGTTTAAGCCCCACATTACATTTGGTTTTCAGACAATATGAAATTAGCATCACTATCACCACCATAAATTGTTGAACTTGTTACCTTAAAAATAATGGCCCTGCAGATACATTACTAAATGATTTAAGGATCTATTGATCTCTCCAATTTCATGAATCTCTAAACTGATTTCTAAAACATCATTTAAACATTCCAATAATTAGAATCTTACCTCAGCTCTTTTCAGCATTTCCCATTTATTCAATATTTTCATGGCAAATACCTTATCTGCATTTTTTAGTTTCACTACAGCAACCTAGAAGAGAAAATACAACTTTTAAAATATGACAAATAAAAATGTTTTCAGTCATCCATTTTCCTCTCTGTTAAAAAATAACAAAATTATCAATGATTTCCATGGCAGTTCATATCCCAAGATCCTAAATCAAATAATACTGTCAGTTGAAAAAGTTACATTAGTCAACGTGGGCCAAACAAGTGTTATTTTTTACATCGTATCAACTGATTGTTTATTACATCCCCCTTTACAAGTTTTCTGCTCTAGAATTTAAACTCAACATCTACTATCACTAGGAAATTGACCAGAACATACAACGCTGAAATACCTAGAGCTTGTTGAATACCACACGCCAGGTTCCAACATGATGCTACAGAGAAGGCCTGCTGCCAACACAAGTCCGTTTCGTGGGAATCAAATAATACAAAGTCAACTGAAAATGAGACTATTTTTCACACCCCATATTCTTACTGCTATACTACAACCCCCATCTTTCTCCCTCTCCCTGGGGATGCTCAAGGGCTGACACTCAACTACGTAAGATGAGACCAAGGTTGCTTTCCAGTCACTGGGGGCTGGGAAGACAAAGACAAACACTGCCCTCATATGCAGAAGGAGAGAACAAACTTTACACAGCATCTCTTCAAATAGTTCGAAAGGATATTTCCAAGGATAGAGAATAGGTTTAAACTCGAGTGTCAGAATTTTAAAGTCTTAATAGCAAATGGACATATTAGGAGCACTTAACAAATCTGTATCTGGATTGGACTGCAATAAAAGTAACATGACCACAGAGTTAAAATCACTGCAGAATACCACAATACAACGTAAGCAAGAACTTTTCTTGGTTATTGTCATAAATGGTTACAATGACTTGTGATTAGAGTTTTTCACCAATGATAACAGTAGGAAAGAAGAGAAACATCTCAATTTCAAGTGCAAGCACTTTAGTCTTTAGTCATTTCTGGTCACATCTGCAAAAATGATGGGTCAGTGAAATTGCTCTCCCACTGATTCATGCTTCAAAAAAGGGGACTGTCAGTGACACAGAAACAATCTAAATGTCCATCAGTAGATGAAGAGATTAAAAAAAAAAAAATGGTGTACACGTATAATGGGATATTATCCAGCCATAAAAAAGAAGGAAATCCTGCTTTTATGACAACATGGATGGACCATGAACCTGGAGGGCATTGTGCTAAGTGAAATAAGCCAGACATAGAAAACAAATCCCATGTGATCTCATTTATACGTGGAACCTAAAAAAGTCAAACGCATGAAAACAGAGAACAGAGTGAGGGCAGCCAGGGCTGGGAGAGACAGGGAGACGTTGGTCCAAGGCTACGAAGTTCCAGTTACAGGATGAAAACGGTCTGGGCACGCGCTGTCCAGCACGACAGTTAACAGTGTTGTACTACATACCTGAAAGCTGCAAAGAGAAAAGATCTTTTTTTTTTTAAACGTTTTTTTTTTTATTTATTTCTAGGGGAGAGAGAGAGAGAGAGAGAGAGAGAGAGACAGCATGAACAGGGGAGGGTCAGAGAGAGAGGGAGTCACAGACTGAAACAGGCTCCAGGCTCTGAGCTGGCAGTCAGCACAGAGCCCGACGCGGGGCTCGAACCCACGAACCGAGAGATCATGACCTAAGCGAAAGTCGGACGCTTAACCGACTAAGCCACCCAGGCGCCCCTGCAAAGAGAAAAGATCTTAAATGTTCTCGTGGCAGAGGGACAAAAAAGGTAATTATGTGAGGTGATATCAACCGTCCTGTGGTAATCATTTTGCAACATATACACGTATCGATTCATTACTTAGGACACCTTAAACTCCACCACATTATAGGTCAATAATATCTCAATAAAAATGGGGAAACAATAAAGGACACTATCATAAACAGCAAGGAAAAACCTGAAATATTGTTTCACCAAAACCTCTGAAAGGCTGGGAACAAGTTTAGCTGCTCCGTAGATTCAAATTACACGTTAGGAGTGCAGACAGACAGAAAGACAGGGACACTGAGTTCGACACACTTACATTCAGGACAGGGAAGGACACTTAAGCCGTCCTTCTTCTGAATGAGGGAAGAATGGCTGAAAGACTGTAACACCTAAGATTCCCCCTCCTCACGTCGCCTAGCTCCGTGTGCCTCACCAGGTCTGGGTTTGAGTACAGAAGTTTCTGGTGATCACTGGGAAGAAGAATAGCCGTAGTATCTGAGCATGTTCTAATGCCAGTTCTCTTCTAAGCGTTTTATGCGGGTCCACAATCCTCTGCTCGCAGTTCTAAAGCCGCAAGGTTTTCACAAGGCATTTGGCAGCAGGTACTGACATCAGGCTGATTATAGGTTTTTGGGTTTTGTTTTTTTAATCTCATTTAGTATAAAGACAAACATGCTTCACTGCAGAAACACTAAAGCACCTGCTTTTGAGGTGCTGTTTCAAACCCCCACAGGGCACCCGTATAAAATATAGCTTAAGCACTTAATGATCTTCCTCAAATACAAAAAATCCTGGAACCCAAACCAGCTGTGGGTTATAGAGCTGTGCGGGATCAGCCCTCACTAAGCACGCGAGCACTGGGCGAGCATCTCGGGAGGCCGCTCGGCGTGGCCGCGACGGCACGCGTGCTGCAGGCAGGCCACCTCACCTGGGTCCTGGCTCTGTCACCAGCTGTGCAGCTCTGGGCGGATAACCTCCCAGGATTTCGATTTTCTCCTCCGCATAACAGCTACTATACTAACGCACACGCGCTAAGAGTACTTGCCCTACAGAACTGCGGTAAGAGGAAAATCATTAATACAAGCATAAAGTCCTTATAACTTACTAGTGCTCAGCCAACACCAACTCTTATTCTGTGTCAGGCACTGCACTAAGCACGGGACAGCCCAATCCCTTCACCATCGTCTGCTTTACCCCTACCTAATGTGTAGCTGACGTTACACATCCCAAGTTATTTAATTTCTTTAATGATGAAATAAGAAATTCCAGCCTCTTCAACTTATAACTTTATACCCACGGCACATAGAAGTATAGCTAGAAAGAGCCTCAAGTGAAAGAAAATAAATGTGGGGCGCCTGGGTGGCTCAGTTGGTTAAGCGTCCGACTTTGGCTCAGATCATGGTCTCGTGGTTTGTGAGTTCAAGCCCCTCCCATATTCATGCTCTCTTTCTGTCTTTGTCTCTCTCTCTCTCTCTCAAAAATAAAAAAGCATCAGGTTCTGTGCTGACAGCCAGGAGTCTGGAGCCTGCCTCAGATTCTGTGTCTTGCTCTCTCTCTGCCCCTCTCCTGCTCATACATTGTCTCTCTCTTTCTCTCTAAAAAATAACATTAAAAAAGTTAAAATATATACATACTATACATTATATATACATATACACAAATAAAAATGAAGTCACAATATTTACTATATTTACTATAGTGTGGTTTCCGACAGTACTCTATTGGGGATCACTTAAGTATTCTGAAAGATGAAATTTACTAAATACATCACAGAACAATAGAAAATTATTCATATTTTAAAAATATTAAAGAGGGGCGCCTTGGTGGCTTAGTAAGTTAAGCCTCTGACTTCAGCTCAGGTCATGACTTCATGGTTCATGGGTTCAAACCCCAGCATGTTGGGCTCTGTGCTGACAGCTCAGTGCCTGGAGCCTGTCTCAGAACAATAGAAAATTATTTATATTTTAAAAATATTAAAGAGGGGCGCCTTGGTGGCTTAGTAAGTTAAGCCTCTGACTTCAGCTCAGGTCATGACTTCATGGTTCATGGGTTCCAGCCCTGTGTCAGGCTCTGTGCTGACAGCTCAGTGCCTGGAGCCTGTCTCAGATTCTGGGTCTCCCTCTTTCTCTATCCCTTCCATGCTCATGCTCTCTCTCTCAAAAATAAACAAACATTAAAAGATTTTTAAAATATTATTAAAAAATATTATCTAAAAGGCAAAAATACAGACTATACTGCTTGAAAGAAGTTTATTAAAGTTTGCACATTTTTTCTGTATATACACAAAATCATATCTATAAATTTCTATGCCATACGAATGTAGAGAAAGACAGGCACCAAAATATTTAAAAATCAGGTATTTCTAGGTGAGAGGATTTCTACTCCCCTTTCTGCATTTTCTGTATGGAACATACAAAATTTGAAGCACGGAACGGGAGAGCGTGAAATGCCACACTTCCCCTTGGTCACAAAATGCCTACCAATTACTGAGGTGCTGTCGCGTGACTGGTAAGGGCCCAAATGAGAGCCACCCGCACATCTGGGCACATCTGGGAGATGCTCGGGGGTGCAGGGCTGCTGCAGGAGAAGTGCGTTCTTAACATCACCCCACAACAGCCTCAGGGGCTGCCCCAAATCTTCTCAGGAATGGGGTGGGATGGAGGGAAATAAAAAATGTCAGTTCAGGAAATATTCCTGAATTATCAAACTGATGACATAATGGAGATAAGTCTACGAAGCTGATGCAGGGACAACACAGAATAAGACCCCTCCTGATTTCCCGCTCTAATACCATACACCATTCCCCTGCTCACAGCAGCAGCAGAAAACAGAGCAAGATCACTCTCCCAGGACTCTAACTTCGGGGTCTAGATTTCCAAGAACCAAAGCTAACTGACATGCAAGGGGGGAGTATGTTAAAATGTCCTTTCTTACTCAATCTGATCAAAATGAAAACTATACTGGGGCACCTGGGTGGCTCAGTCAGTTAAGCGTTTGACTTCAGCTCAGGTCATGATCTCACAGTTCATGGGTTTGAGCCCCGTGTCGGGTTCTGTGCTGACAGCTCAGAGCCTGGAGCCTGCTTCAGATTGTGTCTCCCTCTCTCTCTCTCTGCCCCTTCCTTGCTCATGCTCCGTCTCTCAAAAATGAATGAATGTTTAAAAAATTTTTTTTAAAATTAAAACTACATTTAGTATGGACTAGAGGACTATAAATTTAACACAGAACAAAGATGTTATTTTTTTTTTAATGTTTATTTATTTTTGAGAGACAGATCATGAGCAGGGGAAGGGCAGAGAA